ACAAGAATTCCGAGTTGGTGGTTTTTTTCTTTTCCTCTCAGCATTAAATACTTCACTCCACTTTGTTCTTGGTTTTATGATTTCTGAGAAGGTGGATATAATTTTTATCTTTGCTTCTCTATCCCAGTGTACTCTTTTTCTTCTGGTTTCTTTCAGGAATATTTTTTTAATCTTTTATTTTTCATAGTTTGAAAATGATAGCCTAGGTGTAGTTTTTGTTGGCATTTATCCTGCATGGTATTCTCTAAGCTTCCTGAATCTGTGGTTTGGCGTCTGGCATGAATTTGGGGGCAATTCTCAGCCTGTATTGTTTTGTATATTTCTTCTGTTTCTTTCTCTCTTTTTCTCCATCTCATATTTCCACTATACATATGTTAAACCTTGTGTAGTAGTCCCACAGTTCTTGGATAATCTGTTTTTCAGTCATTGTTCTCTTTGCTTATCAGCTTTGGAGGTTTCTATTGATACATCCTTAAGCTCAGATGTTCTCTCCTTGGCTTTGTCCAGTCCACTCAGAAGCCCACCAAAGACATTCTTCATTTCTGTTACAGTGTTTTTGATCCTTAACATTTTTTTTTTCTTACGATTTCTCTTTGGTTACATTGCCTTTGTGTCCTGGCATGCTGACTATCTATTTGAGCCCTTAACAAATTAACCATTGTTGTTTTAAATTCCCAGTCTGATAATTCCAACATCCTTGTCATGTCTGTTTCTGATGCTTGGTCTGTCTCTTCAAACTATGTTATTTTGCCTTATAGTATGCCTTGTAATTTTTTCTTGATAGTTGGGCATGAATATGGGGTAAAAGGAACTGCTCTTAAGTAGGCCTTTAGTAATGTAGTGATACATGTGTGAGAGGAGAGGAAGTGAAACCATTTTTGCAAAAATTATGGCAGGGAGAAAAATCTGACATGGGAGAATTATGGCAGTGAAAGAAATCTAACCTATCTCCATGTTAGTTCTCACCTCAAAGCTGCTCCTGTTCATTCCTAGGGATAGGCCAAGCAATATGATAAATATGAGAGGAATTTACTTTATAGTTTAATTTTGAATCAAAGATGGTAACAGCCCCTTCCTGAGGCAAATCCCCTCTTTGCTTGGGGATGAGACTACCTTTGTAAAACTAAAAAATTAGCCACAAGATTAGAAAATATGGCTCAGGAGTCATGCAGCCAGAGGCCACAAGATTCCTCAACTTCCCAGTTGCTCCTATAGATAACATCACTATTGTAAAACCTAAGATTGGTGTTTGAGGTATTTTTCTGAGCCTGCATTCTGATGAACCAACCAGCTGGTGCCACCCAGACTGATAAACTGGCTCATCTGGTCTTTTGGCCCCCACCCAGGAACTGACTCAGTGCAAGAAGACAAACTTCAATTCCTTGTGATTTCAACCCAACCAGTCAGCATTCCCTATTCCCTACCCTGCTACCTGCCAAGTTATCCTTGAAGAATCATAGCCTCTGGATTTTTGGAGAGGCTGATTTAAGCAATAATAAGCTTCTGTCCTCTTGCTTAGCTGCCTGTGGGTTTATTAAACTCTTTGTCTATTGCAAAAACCTGCTGTTCTCAGTGCATCGGCTTTGCTGGGCAGTGGGAAAGATGAAACCGTCTGGTGAATACAGAAGTGTTCTCTTTTCCTATGAGTAGATCTCAGTCTTTTAGTGAGCCTGTGCCTCTGGACTGTGAACCTCACGGTGTTTCCCAGGTTTTATTTCCTCTTAGGTGGGAGGGTCACTGGGCTCAGTTGGAATTATATATTTCTGTTCATCACATGGAAGGCTTGAGTGTGCTAGAACTGAAAATTGCTCTTCCCCCAGGCCAGTTAGGCTGTGGTAAAAATCCGTTGTCCCGTGAGGCTCTGGTTAGATAGCTTCTCCTGAGGACAGGCCTTGTTCAGAAGACCCTGGTGCTCTGGCATGTTTCAAAATGGTTCCTTTTCCTCCTCCTCCTACTGGAAGGGGATTTTTCTTGGGGAAGTATCTGCTCCAGGCCAAGCACAGCGGCTGAGGCTTGTAATCCCAGCACTTTGGGAGGTCAGGTTGGGTGGATTGTTTGAGCCCATGAGTTCGAGACCAGCCTGGACAACACGGAGAAACCTGGTCTCTCCTAAAAATACAAAAACTAGCTGGGTGTGGTGGTGAATGCCTATAGTCCCAGCCAGTAGTCAGGAGGCTGAGTGGGAGGATCCCTTGAACCTAGGAGGTCGAGGTTGAGGCTGCAGAGAGCCCTGATCGTGCCAGTGCACTCCAGCTTGGGTGACAGAGCCAGACGCTGTCTCAAAAAAAAAAAAAAAAAAGTTTCTGCTCTAGTATGTTGTGTTTCTGCGTGTCTAACTGTCTGCTGCTTCAATTTCGGAGGCATCAGTTTACCTGTGATACCACTTTCTAAGAACTAAGAAGACTTGCTGATTTTTCAGTTTGTTCAGCCTTTTTACTTGTTAGGATGATATGGCGACTTTTAAGCTCCTTAAATACAGATTGGAAACCAGAAGCCTCTTGACCTTTCATTTTTTTGCCTTTGGAAAAACTCAGGTGGTTAATACTTCTCTTTTAAAGTGCTGTTTGGAAATTCCGTTATGCAAAGACACAATGTAGATAATTTTTATGCCCAATAAATGATAAGGCACATTGGATATAATTGTCACTGTCTTGCGTTTTTTAGCATAGTTTTAGATGTTTTATTTTGCTACAAAGGAATTTTGAGCAGATGAATGTGACATATATCTGTAAAGAACAGACTTATTATTTGGTATGTTCATCTCTCTGTTAATTATCTTTCACTTACAATATTCCCTGTTTAGCTTTCACTTAGAATATTCCCTGCATTTCCTGTTTAACTGGTGGTCCAATATGGGTATCAGTGGAACAATATATGTCATATATATATATTTTATTGTACTTTAGGTTGCGGGGTACATGTGTGGATCATGCTGGATTGATGCATAGGTACATAGATGGCAATGTGGTTTGCTGCCTCCATCCCCCATCACCTATATCTGGCATTTCTCCCCATGTTATCCCTCCCCAACCTTCCTACGCCCAGCTCTTCCTCCCCTAGTCCCCAACAACAGACCCTAGTCTGTGATGTTCCCCTCCTTGTGTCCATGTGTTCTTATTGTTCAACACCTGCCTATGAGTGAGAAGATGTGGTGTTTGACTTTCTGTTCTTTGTCAGCTGAGAATGATGGTTTCCAGATTCATCCATGTCCCTACAAAGGACACAAACTCATCGTTTTTTTATGGCTGCATAGTATTCCGTGGTGTATATGTGCCACATTTTCCTTGTCCAGTCTATCGATGGGCATTTGGGTTGGTTCCAGGTCTTTGCTATTATAAACAGTGCCGCAATGAACATACGTGTGCATGTGTCTTTATAATAGAATGATTTATACTTTGGATATATACCCAGTAATGGGATTGCTGGCTCAAATGGAATTTCTATTTCTAGATCCTTGAGGAATTGCCACACTGTCTTCCACAGTGGTTGAACTAATTTACACTCCCACCAGTCTTCCTATTTCTCCACATCCTCTCCAGCATCTGTTGTCTCCAGATTTTTTAATGATCGCCATTCTACCTGGTGTGAGATGGTATCTCAAAGTGATTTTGATTTGCATTTCTCTAATGACCAGTGATGATGAGCATTTTTTCATATGTTTGTTGGCCTCATATATGTCTTCTTTTGAAGACATCAGAATCTACGAAGAACTAAAGCAGATTTACAAGAAAAAAAAAACAAACCCATTCAAAAGTGGGCGAAGGACATGAACTATATGTCTTAGGAATAAAGCAATTTTAAACCACCATGAGTGGTAGCAGTGTTTAGCTGAGCTCTGTTTCCCAGTTGTCACCAACTGCTGTATCTACTCCCTAGATACACAGATGCATGGTCTCAAACTGTTCTCTTTTGAAGAAAAAAAATTTTTAAAAAGTAGACTTTGAACCAAATGCCATGACTATCTTTAATGCCTTGAAAGGCTCTCATTCCACCCAATCCCGCCCAACTCCTCTCACCCCAATTTCCTTGTGAACTACTTTGGGAAATGCTACTGGTGGTGGTGTGATGATATTTGTAAGCACGAAAATAAAAAGCCGGGAATATGTAAGAGATTCAGATTTTGCTGAAGTGGAGAATTTGACTTGTGGAGTATTGTAATGCAAAATTTTATGCACTGTTAATGGAAAGGGTTTGCTATATAGCTACAGGTCCAGTGTAGGTTGAGAAGCTGGGAACATTTGTTTTACTTTTGAGTGTGTAGAGAATTTGAATAGGAGAACAGGTGGGTATAGAGTGCATCTCCGTCCCATTCATTGTTAGGCTTTATATATACCTTTCTCTCTTAATCCTCAAAACTCCCTTCCTATAAGGTAGATATTTTCCCCAATTTGCAGATAAGGAAGCTCAGACAGATGAACTTTTCCAAGGTCTCAAAGCTAGTGTATCTTGGGACTGTATTCAAACCCAGGGCTGACTTCAAGACCCATGATTCTTCTACTAAATTAACCTGAATGCTTGCGAAGTCTGTGGCTCTAATTGTTTCTATGGCTAATTAATGTTCATGAACTGGTGAAGAGTAAATAGTTTAGTTTTTAGTTTTCTTTTTTTTTTTTTTGAGACAGAATTTCACTTTTGTCACCCAGGCTGGAGTGCAGTGGTGCAATCTTGACTTACTGCAACCTCCGCCTCCTGGGTTCAAGCGATTCTCCTGTCTCAGCCTCCTAAGTAGCTGGGATTACAGGCAGCTACTTAGGAGTATTTTGAGTAGAGACGGGGTTTCACCATGTGGGCCAGGCTGGTCTAGAATTCCTGACCTTAGGTGATCCGCCCACCTTGGCTTCCCAAAGTGCTGAGATTCTAGGCGTGCGCCACTGAGCCCGGCCAGTAGTTTAGTTTTTTAAAATAACTCCCTCAACTTTGTTGGGTCTGTTTATTTGAGAGTGTGTATTTATTTGGGGCCATATATGTATTTTTACATTTACCTATTTTATTTTTCTCAGGTCTTGCTTTTGATATTAGAGAAGGAAGCTTTACTAGTAGCACTCTAGTTGGAGGTGTACATTTCTTTATTAGGCAAGAATCTTATTCAGGTAAATATAGACATTATATTTATTTATAAATACAATGATACTGAAGTATAAAGAACCACAATTTATTATTTTTTTCCTCCCCCCTCCCCAGCCGTGAAGCTTACCAGGTAGAATTCTGGTTTTGGTAGCAGGAAAGGACAGGTGGCAACTTTGTGAATTGTGGCATTTGAGATTAGACTGCTATACAACTCGGTGTACTACAGCACACTAGTTAACAGAAGGGAATAGCGCTGTTGTCAAAGACACGGGAAGGTCTCTTTTAACTGAAAGAGCACTCTTTGGCATTTGGCCATCTAGGTTTCACGATAACATGACGAAGCAGGAACCTTGAAATTGCTCCTCTTTATATTCTGTTCCTGGATAATTACCATCTATACTCAGATTTCGAAAGGTCCTTTTACTTTGTGATTGCATCTTTCAGCAACAACTCTTATTATCCTGTTATGCAATTTGCCTTATTTATGATGCTCAGGTGGGAAAAGGTTCAGCCTCCACAATTGAGATTGCCCTGATTGAGCATTTTATGGTGCTTTTGCTTGTTTTGCTGATCAGCAAACAGAGTCCAAGACAGGTGAATTTCTTCCAGATGTGCATTTGAATAATTGGACAGATCCCTGCGGTCTCTTCAGTAAAAACACAAGTTTTTACTTATTCTTACCGTCTTCCTCCATGCATGGCTTCCTGTGGTCACAATGCAAAGGGCTGTGTAGTTGCAGGATGACTCCACAGTTAATATTGAGCTCATGAGGAGTAAATAGTTCATCCAAGCTGGGAATCTCAGACCTTCATTAGGTCTGCTTATTTGGGTACCAGAACCTGTCACTATCCAGGAGACACACAGCAGATCAGCCTTCATTTGCTTTGTTGCCATTTTAGGCATGAAATAGAACCATTTTCTCTTAGAACATGGTGTCCCTGTGTAGTAATAAGTGATAGCACTTTATGGGCTTTAAGGAGTCTAGAGCCAGGCCGGTTAGCAACTGAAGCTGTAATGACTCAGCTGGACGCTGACAGCCTTTTTCTGAAGTTATGTGAGCAGAGGCGGGTGAGGGAAATGTGGCTCAGTGACCCACAGTGCTCAGTGCTCAGTTCAGTGACAGGCAGCTGGGAGAGCTGAGCCACGGAGAGGCCAGCAAGCCAGAGGGATTTGCTGCCATGCTGTGACGTGGAAGGCAGGGTCCACTCAGCTCTGTATTGATGACGTTCTTAAGTCTGAAGGAATTAATGCAGTTTCTGGATGTGCCTCTTCATCACCACACCTGTTCAAGGAGGAACCGGGGACCCACCCCACGAGTCAGCTTTATAAAAGTTTTTCCTGACAATGCTCTCTACTCCTGGAGGTAGACTGTGTTTTTCTCCTGTACTCTCCTCTAACACAGAACTTGTGTTACTATATGGTACCTGTTTATCTGCCCTCTGGACTGTGAACCCTTGAGAACAGAAATATTTGTCTTATCACTCTTTGAATTCTCAGTACCGGCACTCCACCCCTCCAAGGAAAAAATTATAGCAGCTATCTATAATTGATAATCAGAATTAATGAAATATGGTAGCACAGGTATGAATAGAGTTAAAATTATCAGAGTGATTATAAAATACATAGGAATAAACAACAGAAATTGGGCAAGACCTTTATGAAGGACATTTCCAAAATTAATTATGGCACATAAAAGAACACTTGAATGAACAGAGTAACATGTTCGCTGGTGAGAAGAGTCAATGTAGTAAATATGTCAATATCACTTTTTGTCTATATTAACCTAAAATTTAATACAATTCCAGCATAGGTTGTAATGTTATTTTTATTCTATGGAATTTGATAAAATATAGTAAAATTCAGAAAAACTTTTTGTGTATATTAACCTAAAATTTAATATAATTCCAGCATAAGTTGTATTGTTATTTTTATTCATGGAATTTGGTAAAATACAGTAAAGTTCAGAAAAACATTGCCTGAGACCAGTGAAAAATGAAAAAGAGGAGAAAATTTTATCTCATCAAGTATTAAAACATAAAGTGTAGTAAATATAAACAAAATTGTAGACAAACTAAGAAATTGGGAGCCAGGATAATCTGGATACCCAAACTTGACAAAGGCCTCATAAGAAAAAAATGTAGATTTAAGCATAGATGCAAAAATTATTAACAATATATTAACAAATGGAATCCAGCAAAACAGAAAAAGGATAATATATCATTACCAAATGTGGTTTATCCTGGAAATGCAAGATTGGTTTAGCATTTGAAAATCAATGTAATTTATTCTATTAATGGAAAACAGAGAAAAGAGAATAGCATAGCTACAACAGGAAGTTTAGAAGCAGGCTTGAGTATACATAGAAGCCTAGTACAGGTTCATAGTCCTTTATCTGAAATGTTTGGGGCCAGATATATTTAAAAATTAGAGTTTTTGACAGTATCTCATAATCAAATTCATGTAAATCTCCACAGTAGAAGAGATTAATACTGACAATAAATGGGACAATAAAGGCCAGAAATAGCCTCACATTAGCTCAGGTCAAGTTTTACCACCAAATGAATTTAAGTTCCAAACTGCAAAAAACAAAAGACTCTGTTTTTAGAGCTTTATGATTTCAGAATTTCAGGTTAGGAATTGTCAACTCCTTAATGTCAGGGTGGCTCATCAAGTCAGTGATGAGAAGATTTATAAAAGGTATTGGGATTATATACTAGTCACTTAGAGGAAAGAAAGGATAAAGTTAAATTCCTACTTGATAGCAATATTGTTTATGTTTAAAGATTTTATGTTAAAAAGCTAAAGAATCTATAAAAGCACAAAATATATACTAAATCTTTATTTATAATCTTGTGGTAGTGGAGATCTTTGTAAGCATGATACCAAGAGCAGAAACTAAATATATTTTAAAAAGACATCTGAGAGCTGGGCGCAGTGGCTCACGCCTGTAATCCCAGCACTTTGGGAGGCCAAGGTGGGCAGATCACCTGACATTGGGAGTTTGAGACTAACCTGACCAACATGGAGAAACCCGTCTCTACTAAAAATACAAAATTAGCCAGCCGTGGTGGTGCATGCCTGTAATCCCAGGTACTCGGGAGGCTGAGGCAGGAGAATTGCTTGAAGCTGGGAGGCAGAGGTTGCGGTGAGCCAAGATCGTGCCATTGCACTCCAGCCTAGGCAACAAGAGCAAGACTCCGTCTCAAAAAAAAAAAAAAAGATCTTAGATTTAACTAAGCCAAAATTACAAAGAACACCGTAAATGAAATTAAAAACTAATGTCAATGTGGAGAAAATGTTGGCTACATATATAGTGGCTAAAGGTTTATTGCCCGTAGTTTATAAAGAGCTCTTATAGATTAATAAACAAGAGATGCATTCTCCAGGACAAAATCAGACCAAAGATATGAAAAGGTAATTTGCAAGAGAAGAAATACAAATGGCCACCAGATTCTCCACTACTACCATATCACCATCACTACTAGCAGCTACCATTTACTGTTCATTGTCTACCAAGCACTAGGCTAATATCATATTGTGCTTTAGAAAATACTATGAGGCAGTGCAATTATTTACATTGTGCAATGAGGACAGTCCAATTTAGGGAGCTAAAGCAGCTTGTCCTAGATCATACATTTAGCAGAACTGTTGCTGGGCTGTCTGCCTCCAAAACTCTTGCTCTTCAATATAACACTGACCTACTGCCCCTATATATCAGTATTTGTATAAAAAGAAAATTCAGTGGAAGGAACCAGAAGTTGCCATTTGTTTTGCCTATCAGATTGGAAACAATTGAAAGTGAATATTCATAGCCAGGGAAGATCAGAGTGTGAAGCCTGTACTCTCATCTATTGCTGATGGCAGTGTCAACTGGCATGATTTTTCTGGAAGACACTTAAGCAGTATGTATTGAAAACTACATCCTTTGATAAAGTATTTCTACTTTTTTTTTTTTTTTTTTTTTAGTAGGGTTTTGCTTTTGTTGCCCAGGCTGGAGTGCCATGGCGTGATCTTGGCTCAACGCAGCCTCTGCCTCCTAGGTTCAAGCGATTTTCCTGCTTCAGCCTCCCAAGTAGCTGGGATTACAGGCATGCACCACCATGCCCAGCTAATTTTGTGTTTTTAGTAAAGACAGAGTTTCTCCATGTTGGTCAGGCTGGTCTTGAACTCCCAGCGTCAGGTGATCTGCCCACCTCCGCCTCCCAAAGTGCTGGGATTTCAGGCGTGAGCCACCACGCCTGGCCCAGTGTTTCTACTAAGAATTTGTCTGAAAGGACTACTTTGATAAGTGCTTATATGTACAAGGAATTCATTTCAGTATTGTTTATAAAAGCAAAAGTTTGAAAGAAACTTGTTCATCAGTGAAAGATTGGTTAAATGAGTTATGAGAGAATTGAAGGTGTAGAGCTATATTTATTATTTAAACATTGACTCTCATTTACTTTTCTGTTTTTAAAGGGAGTCTCACCCTGTCACTGAGGCTGGAGTGCAGTGGCACAGCCTTGGCTCACTGCAACCTCTGCCTCCCGGGTTCAAGCAGTTCTCCCACCTCAGCCTCCCAAGTATCTGGAATTACAGGTGGGCACCACCACACCTGGCTGATTTTTATATTTTTAGTTGAGATGGGGTTTCACCATGTTGGCCAGGCTGGTCTTGAACTCCTGACCTCTCAACTGACCTGCTCACCTTGGCCTCCAAAGTGGTGGGATTATAGGTGTGAGCCATCTATAGGTTGGCACTCGGCCGACCCTCATTTACTATTGGATGGAAAAACAAAACAAAAATAAAACAAAGCATGTTGCAAAACAGTTCTGTGGTACAAGTGTATATTTGAAAAACGCCAAATCATATACATATATGCCAAGAAAAAAGTCTGGGGAGGCTGTGAAACACAGTTCTGAGAGTGGTATAATTATTAGTGTTTTATTTTTTTCTTCATGTTTTTCTGCACTATTTATTGATTTATTTTTGCAGTATACATATACTCTAGTTGAAAAAATATTTAAAAATAAATACTGTAATTTTCTCAGACTGATAGAACATCTCTACTTGAACATGAAGCACAGAACTTGGGGATGTGCGTCCAACTCTGTATATTTACTTTGCTTTTGTTAGGGAGTATTTAGGTACTTCCTATACGTATGTTTTACTTTTTGAAAGTTGACACAGGCATGAGCTCACATGTACATTATTTCCCACGTTACTCCAAGAATTGCCAGACTTCTATTTCACTGACTGTGTTTAAAGTAGTAGTTTGCCAGCTACTTGGTTTGCATATCCAGTCAGTGTGAAAGTTATGTAAGTATTCTGCTCCGTAGATACAAGGAAATCCTCTTTGCCCAATCAGTAGATCAAGAAGGTAAACACCTTCTTAATTGCAAATGAAGTTTTAAAAAGTTGGCTTAACAAATATTGCTGTAAATTTGCTTAACAGATCCAGCTGTATAGCTTAACAAATATAGCTCAGGAGACCTACCTGAGGATTCTCATGGTTTAGAAAAGAATTATTTCTAATAGGGAGACAATCATGTTGGGCGTATCTTAAAATGCTTGAGATAATCTTCAAAATATATTGTGAAACAGTGAAGCCTAATATTTTATATGACATGAGCAATTTGCCCAGTGACTTTGAACATTATCCTGACCATCAAAGAACATAATTTAATAAGCATTGTGGACTAAGTAACTTTAGTGTACATTTTCATAGCATCTCTAAAGATTTGGATGCAGAGTTATGAGTTCCATTTGATTGAACTGGTAGTTTTAGAAACAGATTTTTAAATTACTTACCAAGTGAAAAAGGAAAACACCTGTATTGAAAACCCTGGTTGTAGATCATTCTAAAGGCCATTTGGGACAGCAGAACAAGGCGACAATCTCAGAGAAAATAGTTGGTAATGGGCTTTTAGAGATGGTGTTTTAATGCAGTAGTTATTTTGAATTATATTTAAAATGGTTTATTGACCCTGTTCTTCTGTTTTGACATTCTCTTTTGAGGCATACAAGTTATACCAATGGTATTTGAATAGTGGAACTCTTGTGTACCAGTTAAGAGGGTGCATTTTAGAGTCAGACAGACCTGGGTTAAAATCCAGGCTCTCCCACTTAGTTGTTTTTTGAGATTTGGCAAGTCACTGCAGTCTCTCTAAGATTTAGTTTCTTCATTTCAAAAGAACAGACCTGACAGAGTTGTTGAGAGGATTAAAGGAAATAATTTTTTGTAAAGAGCATAACAGTACCTGGCACATATTAAATGTTCCAAGAACATTTTAAGGCTTTTAATATTTTTCCTCTTCTCTTTTTTAAAGAGTGGTTGCTTTTTTTTAATCACAAGTAGTCCAATTTTTGAGAAGATTTTCATAACAATATATAGTAATGGAAAGAATGCACGCTGTGTTGTCTGATAGACCCAGATTTGAAGTATTAAGAAAAACAGCGTGAAATCGTGCTGCCCTTAACAGCCTCCTAACTTTAGGCGAATCATTCTGCTCTGTGCCTCAATTTTCTTCCCTAAGAAATGGAGTCAGAATGCTGACCTTGTTGGAGGTCATAAGGATTTGAAGTGATATAGGCTAAGTGTCAAACTCTATGCCTGCAGGAAAGTGAATGGTTACTATCATTATTGTTATAAAGCTAATAAATATCAAAGAACATCTTAAGCTTTTTAATATTTTTCCTCTTCTCTTTATCTTTAATTGTAATTCTTTAAGAAATTGGGTACACATAGCTAACACTGTGCAATATAAGAAAAATTTTAATAAGTTATATAAAAATGTATTATAATACTACATTTGGTAAACACAGAATAAGAGTCTGTAGGTAGGGATTATATGAGTAGAGAATGATGTGTACTTAGGGCCTGGCTTTGGGGTGCTTGTCAGAGATGAGTGTATGCGGAAGAAGCAGCAGGAAAAGTCAGTGTTTCATTTCTCCATCCCTTCTCACCAGCCACACCAAAGAGGTGATGTCATGGGCTTCTGATGCTGTGTTTGCCCCCATCACCCAGCCATCTGGAATAGCTGCTGGAGGTGCCCAATGTGCCAGCACCGAGGGAAGGCCTGGCTGCTTGGCAGACATTGGTGATGCTGTGACATCGAGTTCCTGGGGAGGTTGCCCGCCTAGGTGGACTGCCACATGCTGTATGTCTTGCTTCGTATTTGCG